TTTTTAGGCTTTTTCTCCGTCACCATTTATGCACGAAGAAATTGTTTTTTCTTTTAATCCTTGCAAAAGAAACATTTTTTTTTTTTCCTCCTGTTGCAAAATGAACCCAAGTGCAGGAAGCAATTTTTTGGGTGGGTGGAAGGGGGGGGGGGGGGGCATGGGCATGCTTGGGATTGACTAAGCTATAACTGCTAAATTTTAATTAACCTCTGAAAATACAGGGTATACTTGAATTCCAGGGTAAACTTTTGCTGTGATGTGAATACCCCATTCTAGTTTATCCTCTGGCCAAAAATTTTATGGACTCCATCTTAGTCACTGTTTGCATATGAAATTGCTCTATTCCAGCTTAGTCATTTTTTGTAAGTGAACCCTTTTAAAACAGTGAGGCAGTCATGAAGATTAAACTGTGACCCCATTCTAGAAACTCTTTTTGGAAATCTAACCCCGTTATAGTCAATCTAGACATGAAAATACTACCTCACCTTGTGGCAAGACCCTAGTAGCCTGTTGACTGAAACCTACAACAAATCTTATTCTTAATGTGAAATTTCACCCAACGATCAGCCCTTTGCATCAACCTTTCATTTCCATTTTGTCATTAAAATAATTTTACGAAATCTTCTCCAGTGAGAGCAGCAACCAAATATAATAAATGTTATTTTATTGTCATAGCGTAATTTACTTGGATGTAAAGTAGTAGGCAGTTTATCACTTTAAAAGTTACTACTCACATTGTATGTAGGACTGTCGATAAGGGCTGGTAGCTGGCTAAAACCGCCAGCTAGTTAGCCATCCTTAGGAGGCTACTTTCATCTCCTTTTACCATAACTGCTAACAAAAAATAAGCACCATCGAATAAAATTGTAAAGCATCAGTTTGAGCGCATATTTAAACAGGTTTAGACCTGTGAAATGTTTGAACCGTGGAATGTCTTGGAAAGCCTGGGACACTTCGACGGCATTGTTCCCAGTCTTATGTGTATTCTGATGAAACAACATGGTGTCCGTAGTAGAAAATACCTCTTGAAAAACCTCACGCCATTTCTGAGACTTGAATTTTCAAAATGTTCCTAGCTTCCTCAGCCCTAAAGAACCTGTGCCTTTGGTGTGAGTTCCAAAGCCGCCTACTATTCATCATCAGCCTGCTACGTAAAAACTTTTTGACAGCCCTGTGTATCGTCAGTGGTGGCCTGTTAGCCTAAAAGGAGGGTCAAGAAAGTGGCAAAGTCACAACAAGTCTACATGAAATCATGAAAGTTCGAGTCTCACAGGATAGTGGAAAAATGCAATATGCAAATGCCATTAATATGGACAATAATACAAATGTGACCTGCCTGTATTTTAGTGGTATGTAATCATTAAGCAGACTCATAATCATCTTGTCACTTTTGTACTTTGCATTTGCTGTTTTTTTTATTTCAGAATAACCCAATAGAGGATGACTACATAGTTGATTGGAATAGGAGACTTGGATCAGGAATTAGTGGACCAGTCAGGTATGTATGTGTATATCAGTGTCAAATGCCATAATTATTATTTCTTGTTTTTAGATTAAAGTACCTATGACATTGTGCTGCTTGTGAGCCAAACAGTCATGGATTATAATTAAATAATTATTATACTTATATATGCAATCAATATTTAATTCATGCACTGAAATCACAAAAGCAAAAAATAAATAATTGTATAACAGCTGTTGTAATATCTGCATCTCTTTTTAGGTTGTGCAAAAGTATAGCTACAGGAAAAGAGTTTGCCTTAAAATGTTTACTGGACTCTCCAAAGGCTCGCACAGAGGTGAGAATTAATGTTAGAAGTATTAAAAAGAGTGTATATTGGTTATATGTAAAAATCTAGTTCTACGGTGTGAAATATGAGGTGAACACGTCACAAATTAGCCCTATATAAAGCCCCATTTATCTGTTACAGGTTAAAATTAAATTTGGGTTAATTCTTTTTTTAAACTGATGATGATTCTCAATTATTTCCTTTGTCTGCTAACCCTAAATTAGGGAAGGACACAAAGGAAATTGAGATTGAATGTAGGTTAGAATTTTTAACCTGAATTTATGATACGATGTTAACCTATATTGTAAAAAAAATAATTTGAAAAAGTGAATGTTACAGGTCAAATTTTTTTTGTTAACTGAAGTGGATTCTCGATTTCTGTTGTCTCCTAGTTTAGCCCTACCATGTAACTAGTCAGTTTGAAGCTGCATCAGTAGCCTGAAGTATTTTACTTTTAGTAAAAGCCAACATTCTAGTGGTCTATTATCAATGCTGCATTCTGATTGGCCGAGCTACTACTAGCGCTATATGTTATAGCCCACTAGTAGTGAAAAGCGCCAGCTTTGAAAGCCAAAACAATGGCTACTGAATCACATTTTGCTTGCTTAAGTTGTTTTGTTTCGATATTTTTGACCAACTAGTTGAATTCTACTGAAACAATTATTCCTCTTACCCTCATGGCCTCTGAGTCAATAGCCCATTAATTTTGGCCTTCTTCAGAGCCCATTTAGGCTCGAGGAATAAATGTTAAGTATTTTTGGATATTTGATGCTTTCACACAGCATACATTCTTTTCCAATCAAAATGATATTTGTACTATTGTGATTTTTGTTTACCTGTAGGCCAAGGTTCACTATTTGTGCAGTGATAACCCTCATATTGTGTCCGTGATTGATGTCTATGCTGTTAACTTCAGGTTCCCTGGAGAAATGAAACCTGTGTAAGTCAGACAAGTGTCTTGATGATTTAATATGAAACAGTTTTAATCGGAATTGTTTAATAATTATTGGAATATGCACAAAGTTAACATTGACTGACACTGGACATTGAATTATTCGTCTCACAGTGATACAATCGAACAGCTCTGAGTTTGTTACTTATAACCTTCCCTTCTCACCCGGGGGCATTTCTTGAGGGTCAGGTCCTTCTTATTGCTTCTAACAAAAATACCAGCTTGTCATCAGTTAACTATTGTGTGCAAGGTAGGCTGAGGTAGGGCAACAAGCATCAAGTCCTCAAAGACAAATACTGGGTACATACTGAAGGGATAATGACGTGTCAAGTGTTTTAACTGAGATGGTATTTCCAAACCTGTTTTTACAGTCCCAGGATTTTGATGGTTATGGAATTGATGGAGGGGGGTGAACTTTTTGAGCTTGTCAGAACAAAACGACGATTCACAGAGAAAGAGGCTGTTCATTTCACTAAGCAAGTGAGTTCTTAATATCTTTGAAATTATCTTTAATTAGAATTTGTAACATTTTGTTGTTGTTGTTGTTTTTTTTTGCTGTTTTTGGCTTCTACCAATCATTGTTTCAGTCACTGTATAAAGGAATTATTAACAACTTTTTTGGTGTGAAAGTGGGAACTTTTAAGGAACCTGAAACCTTAAAATTGTACGTGTGTTTCAGATTGCGTTAGCCATTTACCACTGCCATTCATTCAATGTCGCTCACAGAGATCTTAAACCAGAAAACTTACTCCTTCTTGACAAAAGTGAGGTAAGCTAAATAAATTTTCTTTTTAAATTTTTTTATCTCAGTTTTGACCTTTCTGTTTACTATGTACCAAAAGTAAAACTAAAAACGGAGAACAAAACGGAATTATATATTTATTCGAAAATCAAGCTTACTCTTTGCTGGAAATTTCGCTTTCTAAGGGTAACAGAACCCAAAAAATGTATTCTTACATCAGGAAGGAAAGCACTTAGCGTAGTGCAAGCAAAGATTTGGATGAATTGTTTCTTTTTTTCTACGTCCGAACGATGACAAAGAGGTGGATTATTTTTTTATACATGTTAATAGCTTCGAACGGACATTTCTCGAAAAAAAAGACCCTGGCCTCGGAAAGCTGTTGTTGTTTAATATCATATGTTGATAATATGACAATATCAGTTAACAAAACAAAATTGACTGGTTTCAATTATTAGTTTGGACCTGTTCTTTTGTTCTCTAGATTTTGATCTGAATATTTATTTATGGGCTCGAAACGTTGCCGGGACTCTCCAGAAACAGGCCTCAGAAGAAAATAATGGAACTGTAAACGGCATCTGGATGAGAATGAATCTGATTCCGGCTGCAATTTTACATTCATTATTATTGTTTTTAAAATTATTACAGAACGTGATTATCAAGCTTGCAGATTTTGGATTTGCCAAGATTGACAGAGGAGATCTGGTTACACCACAATTCACTCCTTATTACGTGTCACCTCAGGTAAAAATAAAATAACTCAAAATGATTTAGTTCTCCCCCAGTTTTAGAAAGTACTGAACGATCAGCGTCTACTAATTTTAGTAAAGTGTCCCTCTGATTTAAATCAAATTCAATCCGTTATGTGTACGCTATGCTTAGCTCTTGCGCCGGCACCAAAACCACATCTTTTGAGCAGAGAGTGCTATTCTGGCATTCAACTTCTCCGTTGGCTTGAGTTCACAGGGGCGTCTTTCTCCGTTGTTCAACACCGTACGATCGGAGAAACCGTTTCAAAATCTTCCGAGGCAAACTGAGGCCCATTGTCTGTCCTCAACCAATAGGGAACACCAAATAGAGCAACCATGGGGTACTGTTGTGGTCAATTTTTACGCGAATGCTAGTTTCAAACAGCGACTCTCTAGCTCTGTCTTTTCTGCCCTTAATACGAAAATAAGAAGAACGTCTACAGCAACCCTGTGGGTTGGTCTGCGATTGCATTCTCGCACAAAGTACATATACTCACGGTTTTGTCGCTTGAAATCGTTCGCCAGATATATAGGCCACAAGAGGCCTGGATTTTTTAGAGCCGTTCAGTGCACATTTTTGTCCTTTGCTCCACGAACGGAATCCTTTTTTTTTTTTTTAACTGTCTCGTTGTAATCATAGCTCCTCTGGTAGCCTACTGACCGGCGCCATGACTTGTTTGTAATGTTTCACTAACACTTATTTTATGCGGACTTTCTCGTGTAAATGGGCGCATGGAAAGTTAAGAGTACAAATAAAAACGACAGTGGTACCGCGAGAGAGGAGGGGGCGCGTGAGGGAAAAGCGCTCCTTCTCCAAAGGTCTACAATGATCTCGTTTCCGACAGCACGTAACGTACAGGTTAGCTTACTTGGCAGGCGCAAAGAGCGTAAAGGGAAAGAGAGGAAGAGCAAAATGGCGAAAGGGAAAAGGGAGAGCGGCGAGTTTTCCTCTCTTTATTAATCCCCTGTCCTTTTTTCCCTGGCCCCTCTCTTCTCTTGACGCCTGTCGGCTAGGACGAAGGCTACATACACACCAGTTTGTGGTTTCTCGGTCGGGTGACTGGATGTCCATTCGATTCTGATTTGTCATGTTTAATTAACATTTCCGAAATATTTCAGGGGTACATGGTTTTCATAGTTTGGCAATAGCTATGAAGATGCCGTCTTCATTCTTGCCAGTTAGGGTGTTTTCAGGTCAGATAATGGACTGATTTAATAGGTGATGTGTTGTAACCCCAGGTTTGCCCAGAAAATATCACCTTTACAAAAGCTCTCTCCTTTCACTGTAAATATTATTTGTTGCTCATGCTTTTCTGAGCAGATTAGCAATTCCTAGAAATTCAGAATTAAATCATTCTCAGAAGTCAGCAAAATGTCAAAACATTTCAAGGAGCTGTTTGTGATGGGTTAACTAACATGATGTGATGAGGTCACAAGACTTGATTTCGCTGCCCAACTTTACAGTCTGCGAGCAATTTTTCTCTTAATTCATCATGGATATAAAGACCTTGTTATATAATCTTCACGAAGAAGTATCCTGTCCTGTGTGCATGTGCATGTTTACTACACCAAAGCAGTTGCCTTGCTTGCACAGTTTCTGCCTACACTGTCTGAATGGGATTCAAAGAACAAGCGGCGTCCATGGTAAAATTACATGTCCTGAGTGCAGGAAACAGTTTGACATCCCTAGAAGTGGAAATCCCAGCGAATTTCCCACAAACTTTCGCATTAACAGATTGCTGGATGTTTTGGCGATCAAAGAGTGCAACACTGCCGGCGTGAAATGTGGAAACTGCGACAAGCGAAGCGCCGAGACCTTGTATTGCTTTCAGTGTTGTTCTTTCTGGTGTGCAGAGTGTATTTCAGCTCACAACATCATCCGAGCAAACAAACAACACAAGACTCTTGCCTTGAAAGACTTCCAAGATCAAGATATTGAGGCGGTGTTAAAGCGACCTGCCTTTTGCCAGACGAAGAACCACGAAAACAAAGAGTTGGAATTCTTTTGCAGGGTATGTCAAGTCGCCATTTGTAACGCTTGTGCTGTTACAGAACATGAAGGACATGCGAAGGTGATTCTGGAAACAGCAGCAAATGAGAAGAAACTACAAATCGTGTTTCGCATTAAATCACTGAAAGATAGAGAACAAGAAAAGAGAAGTCAAGTTGAAAAAATCGAGCAAGACAGTATTGAAGTTCAAGTGCAAGTGGCTGACGTGAAAGGCAAGGTACAGAGTAGCGCCGAACAATTAATTGCGATCATCGAAGCGAAGAAACAGGATATTTTTAATGCGGTTGACAAACAAGCACACGACTCCCTCAAAGGACTCACATTAAAAAAAGACCAAATTGTAGATGAGTTGAAAAAGATTCAATCTGCAATCAAACGAACCGAGACTTTGTTGGAACAAAGCTCAAGTGCTGAAATTTTAGGATTTAGTAAAACATATGATACATTCCTTCCAGAACATGGCGTAAAAGTTAACTATGACTCTAAGAGCATCCCTCGTTTTAGCTATATTGACAATGTAGAGCTTATTAAGCTAATGAAGGCTAAAGGTATAGGTAATGTTAAAACTGTTTTCAATGAAACTAAAGCGCAACCGGCTCGAGCAAAGTGTTTCAGGCCTTTGCTGTCTTTTGGAGAGTTTGGTGAGTCTGTTGGAAAGCTTAACGCTCCCTGGGGGGTGGCAGTGAATGATCGTGATGAAATAGCAGTTGCTGAGCATAATAACAACAGAGTGTCAGTTTTCAGTAGTGATGGTACCCATTTAAGATCATTTGGTAGTAAAGGTAGTGATAATGGTGAATTAATTTATCCTCGAGGAATCGCTTTTGATAAACATGGCAATATTATCGTAGCAGACGAAGGTAACCACAGGATTCAAGTATTCAGTGGGAATGGTAAATTTCTTAGTAAGTTTGGTAAAAAGGGAAATCTTGATCACCAGCTTAAGTCTCCTCATGGTTTGTCAATAAGTAGACACGGTGATATTATTGTTGTTGATCGTGATAATAAACGTATCAAGATATTTTCTTCTAGTGGAGAATTCTTACTTAAATTTGGCGGTGAAGGTTCACTCGTTGATCCCTGGCACTGTATCCAACAGGGAGAATATTTTATTGTTTCAGACTTTGAAGATCAGTGCATCAAACTGTTCGACCTTGAGGGTAACTTTGCATTTAAATTCGGAGTGGTGGGGAAGAGGGATGGAGAGTTCAATCAGCCTGCCTTCTTGTCAGTTAACAAAGAAGGTTTGCTAATGGTTTGTGATTACAAAAGCAATAGTGTTCAGATGTTTGACCTGAGCGGGAAGTTTGTTACAAAGTTTGGAATTAGAGGTAGCAGGGCAGGAGAGTTCAAGCTTCCAGTTGCTACAGCAATTCTTGGTGATGGAAGACTGGTTGTGTCTGACTGTGGCAATGACCGAATCCAAGTGTTTGATCAGATATGATCGTACTAGTCTCGAACTATTGCATTTTGTCTCAATTTCTTCGTAGCGTTATGGAGGAGATTGATAACAAACTGCGGTTAAGGATCGACATTTTGATATCTGTGCTTTTGGTTATAGTCTGTTTTATCAGAATATAGTGCTTTTTTTATCAGAATGTAAGTTTGAGATAGAGTGTTTTCAATGATTGACAAGTCGACAATATATTACTGTACAGTCCTTTTTTATTATTGTAAGTGTAGATCTTACTCTTAGTTTGCTAATCATATATACGATTGTTGAGGCTGTTATACGTATTTTTGAATATTTTATTACTAGTAGTAACAGCAGTTATAATTTTCTTTTCGGTATTTTATGTGCAAATATACTTCCGCCCTTGTCTCGGAGGTGCAGCTGGAAAGTTAGAATGTTAAATGATCCGTTATAAACCTGTATGCTGAGACTAAATAAGAAAATAAAAATGGGATTTTTCCTGTAACGTTTAATGAATTTTGAAAAAGGCGGGGTTGGGGGGGGGGGGGGGGGGTCAGTAGATCAAAGGCAATTTCCGGTTTTTGAACATACAAAAATCGATGAATCCTCTCACCGCAACCGTATCTTTTCAAAACTACTCTCCAGAGTGATGTAAGAGCCCCATAAACACAGGTCTGGGTTAAAAAATATGCGGTTTCAAAACAGTCCCGATTGGTGTAGAGAGATCATAAAACCTCAGGAGGAGGGGGCTGAGTTCTTAGTGCTTTCTTTCTCATTCCTACGCCATTTGTCGCGGGCGTTCGTTGGCGTTGGGAAGTGGCGTGGTGGATGAGGGTTGGGGTTTAAATTGTAAGTCAGCTGAAATGGGCAAATGCCTCCTCCTAAATCCTCTGCTCGTTTTCGCTTGCGAAAGTCTACTAGCTCTTTATGCTTCATACTTGACGCTATTTAGTGTTTGTAAAAGATTTAATGGTCATCATGGGCTTCCATTTGAACTCTAAGAAATCATTCACCATTCATTCTGAGTGAATGCGTTTTCTGAAGGCGAGGCGGGTCTGGCCCGCGTCGCCTTATCTAGACCATTAGTACAGAAGGTTTAGATTGTCTGCGCGCGATGCAGGCTAATGCGGGTCACGAAAGGACTAGAATTCGCTCGGGTTATCGCGTAAGTCACAAGAGACCGGGAGGAGTGCGGGGTGAGACATGCGAAAACATCTGAACACCTGCTCGAAAAGGATGTTTCATTTCTTTCCCCTCCTCTCGCCCGATTAAGGTGGCCCGAACCTGTTTATATGCGTGTTGGTTATGTTTTTGATTTGTGTTTTTCAGAATGAAAGATTCAAACGATTTTTATGATTTTTGGCATCCTTAATAAACAATAATGGAACTTTAAGAAAATGTGATATATTTTCTTGTAGGTATAAAAACCTTTGAGATATCGGCATATATTTAAAACCGCATTCTTACGAAAAATGTAGATAACTTCGAAATCCCACAACAGATTTTTCCCTAGCTTTAGAAAATAAGCCTCAGAGCTCTCTAGTTTTACATCTGCAAGTCTGAAGGCAATCGCGACCGTAGGACTCGCTGCACAAAATCCTGGTCAAATTTAACCTTAAAATTCTACGCTAACACATTTGTGAAAGATGACGCACAAATAGAGGACGACTGCCGACAGACTACCTCCTATCTGAAAGGATATTCCTAGCTAAAGCTTTATTGCAAGAAACAGAGTAATCAGAAACTTACGGCGAATACAGTTGGCACTTTAAGAAGAACAATTTTAAGTTGAGTGGGCGGGGATATTAAAGAACTTCTATTCATCAAATTTACTTTGTATTTGTCCCCCTCTTTTGGAAGCAAATCTTAACAAAGCAAAATATAGCTTCTACGAAAAACTGTCAAGAGTTTTTAGCGTCGCAGGTTCCTGTTTTGAAGAGAAATAAGGCCACCAACTCCAGTACTTCTAACTATCCATTTTTCAGCTGCAATGAAAACCCTCGTATTTGGTAATTTATTCACGCTTTCAAGACTTGCCATTGGCAGTGGTGCCGCGAGAGAGGACGACGCGCGCGAGGGAAAAGCGCGCCTGGCCCAATGGCCTACAGTAATCGCGTTTCCCACAATTAGTGCGTAACATATTGGTTAGCTTACTTGGCAGGCGCAAAAAGCTTAAAGGGTAAGAGAGGAAGAGAAAAATAACGAAAGGGAAAAGAGAGAGCGGCGAGTTTTCTTGTCTTTAATCCCTTGTCCTTTTTCCCCTTGCTCCTCTCCGATCCTCTCCTGACGCCTTTCAGCAAGGACGAAGGCTAGATACACACTAGTTTGTGGTTTCTCGGTCGGGTGACTGGCTGTCCATTCTGATTTCGGAAATATTTCAGGGGTACATGGTTTTCATAGTTTGTCAATAATTTTGAACATACCTTCTTAATTCTTGCCAGTTAGGGTGTTTTCAGGTCAGGTTATTATGTATTATTATATCAGACTGATTATGTGATGTGTTGTAACCCCAGGTTTGTCCACAAAATATCACTTTAAAAAAGCTCGCTCCTTTCACTGTAAATATTATTTGTTGGTCATGTTTATCTGAGCAGATTAACGAATTCCTAGAAATCCAGAATTAAATCATTCTCAAAAGTCAGGAAAATGTCAAAACATTTCAAGGAGCTGTTTGTGATTGGTTAACTAACATGATGTGATGAGGTCGCAAGACTCGATTTCGCCGGTCACCCTTTACGGTCTGCGAGCCATTTTTCTGTTAATGACAATTCATCATGGATATCAAGACCTTGTTATATAATCTTCACGAAGAAGTATCCTGTCCTGTGTGCATGTGCATGTTTACTACACCAAAGCAGTTACCTTGTTTGCACAGTTTCTGCCTACACTGTCTGAATGGGATTCAAAGAACAAGCGGCGTCCATGGTAAAATTACATGTCCTGAGTGCAGGAAACAGTTTGTCATCCCTGGAAGTGGAAATCCCAGCGAATTTCCCACAAACTTTCGCATTAACAGATTGCTGGATGTTTTGGCGATCAAAGAGTGCAACACCGCCGGCGTGAAATGTGGAAATTGCGACATACGAAGCGCCGAAACTTTGTATTGCTTTCAATGTTGTTCTTTCTGGTGTCAAGAATGTATTTCAGGTCACAACATCATCCGAGCAAACAAACAGCACAAGACACTTGCCTTGAAAGACTTCCAAGATCAAGATATCGAGGCTGTGTTAAAGCGACCTGCCTTTTGCCAAACGAAGAACCACGTAAACAAAGAGTTGGAGTTCTTTTGCAAGGTGTGTCAAGTCGCTATTTGTAACGCTTGTGCTGTTACAGAGCATGAAGGACATGCGAAGGTGATTCTGGAAACAGAAGCAAATGAGAAGAAACTACAAATCGTTTCTCGCATTAAATCACTGAAAGATATAGAACAAGAAAAGAGAAATCAAGTTGAGAAAATCGAGCAAGACAGTATTGAAGTTCAAGTGCAAGTGGCTGACGTGAAAAGCAAAATACAGAACAGCGTGGAACAAATAATTGCCATCATCGAAGCGAAGAAGCAGGATATTTTAAATGCAGCTGACAAAGAAGCAAACGACTGCCTCAAAGGACTCGCATTGAAGAAAGACCAAATTGAAGATGAGCTTATAAAGGTTCAATCTGCAATCAAAGGAACTGAGACTTTGTTGGAACAAAGCTCCAACGCTGAAATTTTACGATTGAGTACAACATTTGTTACAATCCTTCAAGAACATGGCGTACAAGTTAACTTTGACTCTAGCATTCCCCGTTTTAGCTATATTGACAATGTAAATCTTCTTAACATGTTGAAGACTGAAGGTATAGGTAATGTTAAAACTGCTTTCAATGAAACTAAAGCGCAACAAGCTCAAGCAAAGTGTTTCAGACCTGTGCTGTCTTTTGGAGAGGAAGGCAAGTCTGTTGGAAAGCTTCAAACTCCCTGGGGGGTGGCAGTGAATGATCGTGACGAAATAGCAGTCACTGATAACAGCAGAGTGTCAGTATTCAGTAGTGATGGTACCCACTTAAGATCATTTGGTAAGGCGGGTAGTAATAATGGTGAATTTAACTGGCTTCGAGGGGTCGCGTTTGATAAACATGGCAATATTATCGTGGCAGACTCTGGTAACCACAGGATCCAAGTACTCAGTAGAAAGGGCAAGTTTCTTAGTAAGTTTGGTGAAAAGGGAAGTCAAGATCACCAACTTAGAGGTCCTGAAGGTGTATCATTAACTAGTGACGGTGATATTATTGTTGTTGATCGTTTTATTAATGAAATATTAATCAAGATATTTTCCCCTAATGGAGAATGCATATTTGAATTTGGCAGTAAAGGTTCCTTGCTTGATCCCTGGCACTGTATCCAACAGGGAGAATATTATATAGTTTCAGACTTGGGTGATCATTGCATCAAAATGTTCGACCTTAAGGGTAACTTTATATTTAAATTTGGAATGAAGGGGAACAAGGATGGAGAGTTCAATAACCCTACCTTCTTGTCAGTTAACAAAGAAGGTTTGCTAATGGTTTGTGATAACGGCAACCATAGAGTCCAGGTATTTGACCTGAGCGGGAATGTTGTCACAAAGTTTGGAAGTAGAGGTAGCAGGGCAGGAGAGTTTAAGTTTCCAATCGCTATAGCAAGTCTTGGTGATGGAAGGGTGGTTGTGTCTGACAGTCGTAACAACAGAATCCAAGTGTTTGATCAGATGTGATCCTTCCAGTGTCAGACTATTGCATTTTTTCGTAGCGTCATAGAGAGAGATTGATAAATAAACTGTCAAGGATCGACATTTTGATATCTGTGCTCTTGCTTATAGTGCAAAACGATAAATTGTACCGTATTTGAAAAGTAAATTGGGACTCATTTTTACGAACTTTGAAACTCATTAATCGTTGCCATTAACAACGAGTTATTGTTTACGTAATCATCTAGTATTGTGAATGTTGATATTTTTACGTTTGCGATATTTGTGTTCGATCGATAATTTTTCTATGCCAATTGTACAAAGCTTATTGGTTGTTATTTCTTAGTTTGGTTGATTGAGATGTTCTTTTTGGACGTCACGTTTCGGATACGCAAGTGCTGAAGTTCAATTTGATTAAATTCTTTCTTTTGATTGAATTGGGTATTTAATTTATTTTAGTGTTCAAACAAAGGACAGTTTTTGGTTTGTTTTAATTGATCTTCTCCGGATCAATCAAAGCTGTAAAGATAAGTTGAGTTCAGCCAAAGAAGTTCTGTTTTTGCCATTTCGTTGTGTTTTGAGAACTTTTTATTGAACTGGTCTGTGTTTGGAGAATGAAACCCTGTCCATCGAAGTTTCTCAATCGGACCGTAGAAACGTAGTCTAATAATGATTGTTTGAGGAAGAGGTGTCAAGTATACGTAACACGTAGTCTGTTCATGATTTTTTGAGGAAGAGGTGTTAAATATACGTCTTTTGTTTGAAAGCCTTTGTAAAATATTCATAACTAACTGGTTCGCAAACAACTTTTGAGTTAATATGTGGAAAAAGGCGGGACTCGTTAGTATTGTTATAGTATTCCAACAAGAAGGTTCCAAACGACAACTTGGGTACTGATCGCAAAATGACGAATTGTTCTTTTGGTTGTAACAATATTGTACATAGTATATTTCTCTTCACGCAAACTTTTTTTTTATAATTTTTGTATTTAGTAGGAAGGGTCACCAGATCAAAGACAATTTCCGGTTTTTGAACATACAAAAACCAATGAATCCGCTCACCGGAACCGTATCTTTTTGAAACCACTCTCCAGAGTGATGTAAGAGCCCGGAAACACAAATTCGGGTTAAAAATAGTGGTTTAAAAAATGTCCGGACAGAGCCTAAAACTTTAAAAGGAGGGGGCTTAGATCTGACGCTGAGCCGATGTGAGCGGTTTCTTGCTGGTGGATGAGGGCTGGGGTTTTTAAAATTGGAAGTAAGCTGAAATGGGCAAATGCCTTCTCCTAAATCCTCTGCTCGTTTTCGCTTGCGAAAGTCTACTAGCTCTTTATGCTTCATACTTGACGCTATTTAGTGTGTGTAAAAGATTTAATGGTCATCATGGGCTTCCATTTAAACTCTAAGAAATCATTCACCATTCATTCTGAGTGAATGCGTTTTCTGAAGGCGAGGCGGGTCTGGCCCGCGTTGCATTCGGCCCACGCCTTATCTAGATCTTTTAGTATAGAAGGTTTAGAGTATCTGCGCGCGACGCAGGCTAACGTGTAGTTCCATAAAACATCCATAGCACTCGCACAGAAGGGATCTGATTTCCAGGGGGGACGGGGTGGTCAACGTGCCTAATTTTTCAGTGCGGAGGTGGGGGTACCCCATAGGGAAATATTACCAGGGGGTTTTAGTGACGCGTAAGAGAGTAACAAAGAAAAAACACAAAAATTTACCACGACAATTTATTTCCGAAGGATAATGATTAATGAACATAGCGAAGATATTTTGTCAGTTCCTTGGAGTGACCTCTCACGCGGAAACGTTCCTTATGGTTTGCCATTTTCGAACGGATAGCCGTTCGAACAAATTGGTATTCGTTTGAACGGCTCGGGCTATCCGTTCCAAAAAAAATTGTCATCCAATATACAAATTTGGTAAAACGAAATTCGATACTCGCGCGACGAGGTCCTGATCTCTTTGGTTATACTTCTTCAACTTTTGCTTTCTTCTTGATGCAGTGAGAGAAAAGTACAGTTATATTTCCTACGAATTTCATTTGCGTGTGGCTGAGAACTTGTTCAACAATTTCTTCATGACTTGAACGCATAAGGAATCGCTATCTGTTGTAGAATTCAACAGAAAATACATGAAACTCACAAAATTTGTTCGTGACTTGAGCACTTAAGGAGTTCGCATAAGGAATTCGCTTATCTGTTATAGAATGTAACAGAAAATACATGAAACTCACAAAATTCGCATCCTAGTGAACAAACCTATTTATTTGTTCACTTCAATAAGAGATAGCAATAATTCCAGGGGGTGTGAGAAAATTTTGGAAATTCCGGAGAGGACCGGGAGGGGTACATTTTGTGGGTCGATTTTGGAAAATCTAGAGGGGAGGCGGGATCATATGGTAGATCCCCTCCGTTGGGGTGGTATGGATATTTTCTAGATTTCGCTTGGGCTATCGCGTAAGTCACAAGAGACCGTGTAACCTCGTTCCCAGTCGTCCTTGGCGATTTCGGATGAGACGTCACCTGTCAAGCTTGTCGGGAAACGTGAACTGGCCTGGGTACGAGGCTGGACACCGGGAAGAGTGCAGGGTGAGACAGGCGAAAAACATCTAAACACCTGCTCGAAAAGGATGTTTCATTTCTTTTCCCTGCTCTCCCTCCTCTGTGTCCATTCGTTTTATGCTCGCCCGATTAATTACACTTGCTGCTTTTCCAAATATTCCCCTGCTTTCAAAATAAAAAATAGCGACTACTCGCAAGAACATCAGGACGACAAACCCGTGAGCGTTTACTGCAACCTAGCCTGCGATCATGCTCACCCTAACCCTATAATCACGGCGGTTATCACTCGCCCGAAATATACGCGTGTATTAAAGGCTCTCGGTCAATGGACAACTCCTATTTACTTCCTCATTATTAAACTTGAGAATCTACTGTCACTATTGAATGTTATTGTGCGTGTAAATAACAATGGTTTGCGCTTTTGGCTTAGGTGCTGGAAGCCCAAAGGATTCACCGTGCTCAAAAGTCTGGGAGATTTCCTTTTTTAACCAAACCATACACATACGACAAGGTAGGATTAGTAAAAGCAGTCGATTGGCCTGTTACTTATTACTTTTATATTACTTACATGATGACCAGTGGTTTTTGGTGTCACCCTTGGTGAAGACTCTGGTGCAAAGTAATGAATAACTTTATCTGACCTTGGAAGGACACCTTCATACTCGTCTATCTGTAGATCTTGTTAAAACTGTGAAAACAAGGATATAATTACAGAACCCGTCTATAATTCGTCTTTTCGTTTTCTTGTACGCGAAACGTCAACGAAACATTTGGTTCAAATCAGAGGACGGTTTCTTTTACCGGCCCACGCAAATACAGGTTTCTATCAGTGTCACTGATCGACCGAAAGGTTTACGTTAAACTGCCCATAACTTTTTTTCTATTCTTTCATCCGAATTTACACATCAATCGATGAAGTTAGCCGAAAACTGATTTTATTTTTATTTTTTAATGAGTTTTTAAAGTCTTCTAAATCCTATGTTTTCGCGATCGACTTGTTCCGCGGAAAAGAATGCCATAATAAGCTCACGTGAGTCAGGAACCTTTTTTGTGAATGCGTCTAATTGAACCTCAGCAATTGGAGCGAACAGGATCAGAAATTTACCGGTTGAAGTTGTTTCACATACACGCATACATTCTAACATGTTTAACATTGGTTTCAATTGGACGCTAGTTTATTTATGCTTCAAGACAAGGCAGACTGATACATTCTACCTTGTTTTTCTGGCATGTGACGTGAGGTTTACCAACCTCTTTCTGTATTTTACCCCCACAGAGTTGTGACATGTGGTCGTTAGGTGTGGTCATCTACATCATGTTATGTGGATACCCCCCATTCTATTCAGAGGTACCTCGTAAACAGCTCTCACAAGGAATGAAGCGGAGAATTATGGCTGGAGAGTACGACTATCCTGAAAAGGAATGGTCAAAAATATCACCAGAAGCCAAAGAAGTTATAGCAAGGTATGTCACCTTAACAGTATGAATCGAACCATAGTGATAATGTAATGAAACCATTTTTCTGCAATATGAAGGTAAAGTAGTATAGTTGTCATTTTTTTCTTCCCGATCGTGGTCACCGTTGAATTTTTTGGCTTTTTGCTGAAAGCAATTGAAGGTTTCTACCAAAAGTTTGTTTTATTAAATTCCTTCACTACGTTTTAATTCCGTCTCATAATTTTCCGAAACGCCCTCGCCCTGTTTATCTGCTGTGTTTTAGCCCAAGTGGCTGCGTGCAGCCACTAACCCGGCGGGAAATACATCAATAACTGATATCACGCCTGTTAACGATAATTAATCAAACTCTGCGACCGTTTAACTTATCTCCGCCCTTCACCCTTCTATAATTAGCTGTATTCCTCGCGAAGTTCTTCTTTTTCTTTTCTTCTTCTTAGTAAAATTCAGTATCGATAACGATCTTTTTGTAGTTTATTACGGGTGGAACCAGCTCAAAGAATGGCTGTTACCGAGTTGCTTGAACACTCGTGGTTAAATGAAGGAGTCGTCCCAGATGTTCCACTTGATTCTCCTTCAGTTATTGTATCAGACGAGGTTTGTTTTCAATTTATATTTTTGATCATGTCATAAATGCTACTCAGGACTGGGTGTATTATTGCTTCCTATGCCCGCAAAAGGTTGAATATCAATCCATGATTAAAGTTTTGTATTACCACTGAAACGGAAGCTGCCAGGAGCTATAATCGGGATGAAACAGGTTATGGCTCCTGAAACTACCGAAGAGTGTTTTCCCAGTTGTTCCTGAGATGGCAACGATTATTCTAACTTTTAATTCTGTAGATGAAAT